CCCAGGTTTACAACCTCGCTGTCATCCTTGACAGCTCACTCCCTCTGACCTCAAATGTCCGATCTACTGGCAATTTTTATTGTTTTGACCATAACAATATCACTTGTATATGTCCCCTTCTCTCTACTCACACACCACCCTGACATCAGCCCTTATCACCTCTTGCCTTGACAATTTCAATAGCTTTCCTACAGGTCTTCCTGCCTCAAATCTCTTCACACTTCAATGTATCCTCCATTCAGCAAGTAAAGTGATTTTCCTAAAGCACAAATCTGATCATGTTACCACCTCTATTTATAATAATTTATTCTTGGGGCAGCTAGGTGGCACAGTGGATAGAGCAGTGACCTTGGGAGTCAGAAGGACCTGAGTTCAAATCTGGCCTCAGACACATAACACTTACTAGCTGTGTGACTCTGGGCAAGTCACTTAAGCCCAACTGCCTCACCAAAAGAAAAAAAAGAGTAGGAGGAATGGTCTTGGGGTGGGAGAAAATTTGGAACTCATCTCACTGAAGTGAATGTTGAAAACTAAAAAAATAAATAAATTATAATAATTTATTCTTTATTACCTTTAGAATCAAACACAAACTGTCTCTTTGGCTTTCATAGCCTTTCACAATCTGACCTATCCCTATCTTTCTAATCTTCTTATATCTCACTCTCCTCCAGGTACTCTACAAGCCCACAACAGTGGCCTCCTGCTGTTCTTCACCCACAATACCCCAGCTCCAGACACTGTGCTCTTTCCCTGATTGTCTCCTATGCCAGAAATGCCCTGCCCCCTCACCTCTGCCTCCTGGCTTCCCTGGCTTCCCTGGCTCCCTTCAAGATCTGGCTCAAACTGTACCTTCTAAAGGAAGCCTTCTCTAGTCTCTTTCCCTCCTCTTCTGACTGCTAGTGCCTTCCCTTTAAGATTACATTCCATTACCACCATATATATAGTTGGTTTGCACAATTTTGTAGATGTTGTCTTGCCCATTATAATCTAAATTCTTTGAATGTAGGAACTCTGGTTTTGCCTAACTCATATGCTATAAAACAGAACTAGAGGAAGTCATAGCAGCAAACTGAATGTACTACCAAGTTATGTTATTGAATCTCAAGTGTTCTATACTACAGGAAGGAAATGTTTTCATTCCTCCCTAAATAATTACTTTTTCTCACTCCTCACAGAAGCTGTTTCAAATTTTCTTTTCTTTCCTCAAGCCTTGTACTTAAATGAGAAAACAGGCCATTTTCTATGAGCTCTTTCATCTCAAAATCTCTTTTCATCACCTCTTACTTTCTCCTCCTTTCCCGAAGTCTTTGATGAGATGGCCCTTCTTCTTGCCACAGCAAGCTCACCTACATTTATCTTTGATCCCTTCCATCTTCTCCAGCAGACTGACTCCAAATCATTGCCCCATCTAATCTTCAATCTCTCCCTCTATTTATTAGTTCCTTCCCTACTGTCTTCAAAGTATCCCCCACCCTTCTCTAGATCTTACCAGAGATGACCTGAAGATACAACAAAGGAGACTAAGGAGCAGCCAGACAGGTAAGGGAAGAACCAAGACAGATGTGTCACAAAAACATGGAGAGGTAAGAAAATTAAGGTAAAGAGAATGATTAACAATGTCAAAGGCTGAGAGGTCAAGAAGGATAAGGATTGAGAAAAGGCCATTAGATTTGGCAATTAAGAGATCAGTGATAACTTTGAAGAGAGCAGTTTCAGTTGAATGATGGAATCAGAAACCAGCTTTGGGAAATTTAAAAGAGAGGAAAGCAAATGGAGGCACCTATTGGGGACAGGCTTCTCAAGGAATTTATGGAGAACAGGAGAATCTATGACCAAACAAGAGATAGAAAACATTATGAAATGCAAAATGGGTAATTTTGATTACATTAAAATGAAAAATTTTTGAACAAAGCCAATGCAACTAAGATTAGGAGGGAAGAAGAAAACTGGGAATGAATTTTTATAACCAGTGTCTCTGATAAGGGTCTCATTTCTAAAATATATAGAGAACTAGTCAAATTTATAAGAATAGAAGTCATTCCCCAATTGATAAATGGTCAAAGGATATGAACAGGCAGTTTTCAGAGGAAGAAATTAAAGCCATGTACAGTTATATGAAAAAATACTCTTAATTGAGGGGACACCCCTCAATTGGGGAATGACTGAACAAGTTGTGGCATATGAATGTAATGGAATACTATTGTGCTACAAGAAATGATGAGCAAGCCGACTTCATAAAAACCTGGAAAGACTTGTATGGACTGATTTTGAATGAAGTAAGCAGAACCAGGAGAACACTGTACACAGCAATAGCCACACGTGTAATGACTAACTTTGATAGACTTAGTTCTTCTCAGCAACGCAAGGATCTAAGACATCTCCAAAAGACTCATGATAGAAAATGCTATTCACATCCAGAGAAAGAACTAAGGAGTCTGAACGCAGATAGAAGCATACTATTTGCTCTTTTTTTTTTCTTCTGTTTTGTTTCTTCTTTCTTGTGGTTCCTCCTACTGGTTCTAACTCTTTACAACATGACTAATATGAAAATGTTTAATAGGAATGTATATGTAGAGCCTACATCAGATTGTACACCATCTGGGGCAGCTAGGTGGCGCAGTGGAAAGAGCGCCAGACCTGAAGTCAGGAGGACCTGAGTTCAAATTCGACCTCAGACCAAACACTTGACACTTACTAGCTGTGTGACCCTGGGCAAGTCACTTAACCCCAAATGCCTTTAAAAAAAAAAAAAAAGAACAGATTGTACACCATCTTGGGGAGGGAGGCAGGGAAGAAAAGGAAGAAAATTTAAAACTCAAAAGTTTATGGAAGCGAATCTTGAAAACTAAAAATAAATTAATTAATTAAAAACAAAAGGAAAAAACACATAAAATGTTAAAAGTGCCAAAGAAGGCCTTCTAATTGTCACATACACCAGCCCAACCCTGACAATCATCCAAGGGAAAAAACATTATGGAGAAAGGGCTTACCACTAGTATCACCAATAGCCACCAATTGATCAAACACAACACTGTGAGGTGAAGACAGAAGGTGACATGTGGCAGACAGGTGAAATCATTGCTACTACACCTTGACTACAACTTACCCTCAGACTCTGAGAAAGACATTCCAGAACCCAGAGTCCAAGAGTCTTAGGAATTGTAGTATTCCCCAGATCATCATGCCTACTTCAAGCTGAGCCCTCACAGCCATCATCAAAGTAGGAAATCCTTAATAGCCAATTGCAACCAAACGAAAAGGTAAGCATAAGAACCCTGGAAATAGGAATGTGTCCCATATCACCAACTCTGGTACCAGCCCAGGCATCACAGAGGGGAATAACCTTTGCGGAGATTGAGTCTTTCAACAGCCTCTGCAAGTGCAACAGTTTCCACCTCCTCAGTAGCTAGAGCTACTAAAGACCTGGAAAAAGAAAGCTCACCAAATTCCCTTGCACTTTCAGGTGGTTCAACATCAGCATCAGATATGGTGTTATCAATGTAACTGATACTGAAGAAAATGCATTACTATTAACTTCGCACCATACCCTAAGGACTCCTGGGCCTTTCCTGAATTGAAGCTAAAACCTTCAATATGTGCTATCTCCTCCTATTAGAATATTAGCTTTTCAAGAGACAGAAGTGTCTTTGCTTTTTCTGCTTGTATCCCCAATGCTTACCATAGTACACACAGTAAGTATATAATAAATCCTTTTTCATTCATCTCAAAATAAAAGATAAATTTTCAATGTAAGCTCAGTGTGAAGACAGAAGACAACACATAGAATAAGAAGGCATTCACCACTTATAAGATCATAGATCAACAGAGGTATATAAGTAAATTTTTTTTTTTTGCTTCAATGCTGTTATTAAAAAGCATATCATTTGCTCACTCACTGAAAAATAGCTAGGTGGCATAGTGGATAGAGCTCCAGGCCTCATCTTCATGAGTTCAAATCCAGCCTCAGATACCTACTAGCGATGTGACTCTGGGCAAGTCAATTAACCCTGTTTGCCTCCATTTCCTCATCTGCAAAACGAGCTGGAGAAGGAAATGGCAAACCACCTCAGTATCTTTGCCAAGAAAACCCTAAATGTGGTCATGAAGAGTCAGACACGACTGAAAAACGACTGAACAACAATGAAATATTAGAAATTATGAATATGATGAAAACATAAAAGCATGGAAAGATTTATATCAACTGAATCAAAGTGAATTAAACCAAACCAGAAAAACAAAACACTGACTACAACAAGGTAAATGGAACATCAAAACAATTAAAACTGAATGCTACAAAATTATAATGACTAAGAAGGTCCCCAGAGAAGAAGTATGAAAAGATATTCCTCATTCCACTGCTTTTTTTGAACAGGAAGCTATGGGTGTGGAATACTACATATCATGTCAGAATTTTTCAGTAAGTTGCTTAAGTTTGCCTAATTTTTTGTTCCCCTTTAAAATAATTTTTTGTGACATTGTTCTTTGAGTGATGGCTATCTAGGAAGGGCAAGATGGAGAGATACATGAGAAAATGTAGTTGATGCAAAAACAAAACATCAATACAAATTTATTTTATAAAAAATAAAAATGAAAATGAAAAGCATCATACTATTTAATTTGTTTAAATCTAGTTTGAAATAGCTCACATCTGAAGAATTCATGCCAAAAGATACCTATAAGAGATAACTTTCCTTTATAATGTCAAATTCATTTGGATAAACAGCATGACAAACTATATGGCAAAAGTCAATTTTGCAAGAACCAAGTACATACTAGATCTCATGATTTCAAAAAGTATTTTAGAATAAAATTAGGCCAATGTGATTTTTTAACAGCCACACAAAGTTTATAAGAGAGAGAAGGGAGGTTCATTTTTTTAAAGTCACATCTATAGGAACTGTAAACATAATTCTGACTTATTAATAATTATATTTTAAATTTCAAGGAAAAAAGATAATTCCAAAAATGTTGTTCAAGTTGTATTAGACAAGACAGGTTACCTTTCTGACTTGCTTTAGATATCATTTCTATGTGCTTCATTGCTGCTTTTAACATTTTCTTGGTTATAACTGCTGGGATATCCACCTAAAGAAATTTTAAATCAAAGTAAAATATTTCATAATTATCATTAAGACAATGAATGCAAGATACTGCAATATTAAATGTAAGATAACTAAACTACTAAAAATAAGGTAACCATAACAAATATACTAACATTCTAAAAGCCATGTGCATTCAAAGAACACATTGGTTGTAATATGATACCATTTGAATCATTAATCTCAAACTGTACTTTTCAGATTTTTCTCAAAATGAGCATCTGAATTGCTGGAATTAAAGAATTACAGAGTTGCCAGGGACCACAGAAATCACCTAGACCAATCCTAAATTAGGCACAAATCTGCCTTCCACAAATTTTCCCTTCAAGTGCCTTGCACATAATAGCTACCTAGTAAATATTTAACAAATCTCTCCTAATGGTACTGAGACTATTGAAGGACTGTAATGCCAGAGAGCTTTTGTTTTTAGCAGGACTAATTTTTTCCCCTTATAATGAGCCAAAATCAACCCCACTGTCATTTCTATGCACTGGTCCTACTTCTACCCTCTGGGGTTTGAAGACAACAGTCATCTCCCCAGTAAACCTTTTCTTCCTCGGGCTAAGGAGCCCTAGTCCCTTTATTTAAGAAAAAAATTTTAACACTAAATAAAAAGCACATTTCCATATACACTTTGGAAAAGGAGAAGATCGTATATGAAATTGCAAGTCTCTATTATGTAGAGCTTGGTTTTCAATGCTGATGTATGTGTTTATGATTCCTTCTGGCCTTCTTTAAGCTTTCTTCTCATTTTGGGGATGCAGGAAGGGAACCCCATCCCTAATCCTTTCCTTCTTCAACCCTCCTCATACATTGAAAAGAAAGAAAAAATAAAAAAAAAAAAGAAAAACAGAACTTTTGTAACAAATAAGCATAGTCAAGAAAAACAAATTCCTACAATGGCCATATGAAAAAAATGTATGTCTGGTTTTGCAGCTTTAGTCATCACCTCTCTATCTGGATGTAGATAGCACGTTTCATCATAGGTCCTCTGGGATTGTGGTTGGTCATAATCATAATACTAATCAGCATTTTTAAGTCTTTCAAAAGTCTTTTCCTCACAATATTGTTACTGGCATATGAATTGGTCTCCTACTTTTGTTCACTTCATACCACATCAATTCATGTGATTCTATCCAGGTTTCTCTGAAAAAGTCCCTTATTTCATTTTTTATGACCCAAAATATCCCATTACATCCACATACAGTAATATACACAGTCACTGCCCAATTGATTAGGATCCCCTTAGTTGTCAGTTCTTTGCCACTACAAAAAGTGCTACTACATTTTTGTACATATCAGTCTTTTCCCTCTTTTGCTATTTCTTTGAAGTATAGGCCTAGTAGCTGCATTACTAGATCAAAAGGCATGACCAGTTTAGTGACTTTGGGGAAAAATTTCCAATTGCTTTCCAGAATGGTTGAACCAGTTCACAGCTCTACTAATGGAATTAACGCATCTATTTTCCCACAACCACTCCAATATCTGTTATTCTCCCTCTTTCCCATCTTTGCCAAAAATTGTGCAAATCTTCAAAGTTACTTTAGTTTTCATTCCTCTAATTATTAGTAATCTGGAATATTTTTTTTTTCACATGGCTGTGGACTGCTTGGATTTCTTCCTTTGAAAAATGCCTGTTCAGTTCTAGGGCTATATCCCAAAGAGATCATACAAATGGGAAAAGGACCCACATATACAAGAATATTCATAGCAGCTCTTTCTGTGGTGGCAAAGAATTGGAAATTGAGAGGATGCCCATCAAAATTGGGGAATGGCTGAGCAAGCTGTGGTATATGAATGTAATGGAATACTATTGTGCCATAAGAAATGATGAACATGCTGACTTCACAAAAACCTGGAAAGACTTGTATGGTCTGATGCTGAGTGAAGTGAGCAGAACCAAGAGAACATCGTACACGATAACAGCCATGTTGTGTGATGACTAATATTGATAAACTTAACCCTTTCCGGCAATACAAGGATCTAAGACATCTCCAGAGGCCTTGTGATGGAAAATGCTATTCACATCCAAAGAAGGAACTATGGAAGTTGAATTGCTATTTCTTTTCCTCTTCTGTTAAGTTTTGTTTCCTCTTTCTGTTGGTTCCTCCTATTGGTTTTCATTTTTGCTTACAACATCACTAATGTGAAAATATGTTTAATATGAATGTAAATGTACAGCCTATATCAGATTGTGCGCCATCTTGGGGAGGGTGGTGGGGAGGAAGGGGGAGAAAAATTTTAAACTCAAAAGCATATGGAAGTGATTATTGATAAATCAAAATAAATTAATATAAAAAGAAAAAAAAAGAAAAATGCTTGTTCAGATCCTTTAACCACTTATTTATATAGACAGGTAGATGATACAGTAGATACAGCACTGGACCTACAAGGAAAATTTCAGTTCAAATTTAGCCTCAAAAACTTAATTTGCTGGGTGAACCTGGACAAGTCTCTTCACTGACTGCCTTAAGTTTCCTCATAAGTAAAATGAGGATAATAAAAACAGTTATCTCCCAGAGTGGCTGTGAGGATAAAATGAGATAATACCTGAAAAGCACTTTATAAACCTTAAGTCGCTATATAAATGCTAGCTATCCACTGGAAAATGGAATTTTCTTATATTTGAATCAATTCTTTATACTCCTTGGAAATGACACCTTTAGGAAGAACTTCCACCCAAAATTACTTCCCTTACCATTTTTTTCCACTATTTCCACAGAGATTCCTGAACATCTGTCTTTGCAGATCAACTTCATTATCATTTTTTCCAGCTCAAAAAAATAATTCTGTGGAGTTTGACTGCTATGGTACAGAACAGGCATAGTAAGGCAGTATTATCACAACCTACCCTTGAGCAATTACTATTCCTCCAAATAATCCAATTAGGTCTATCTTTATACCTGTAAAGAAGGTTTTGTGGTTGTATTCATATATTTCCTGCACATGTTTTGGTAGGCAGACTCCCAAATATTTTATACATCTTGTGGTTATTATGAATGGAATTTCTCTAACTCTCCCAGTTGGATTTTTTGGGTATACAGAAATGCTGATGACTTATGTGAATTGATTTTATATACTGCAACTTCACTGAAGTTATTAATTTTTAATTGACTCTAAGGTTATCCAAGTAAATCATCACATCATCTGCAAAATGCAAGAATTTTATTTCTTCTTTGCCTATGCTTATTCCATCAATTTCTTTCTTCCTGTCCTATTGCAATAGCAAGCATTTCTGGCACTCCAGCAAATAACAGCTTCCTTAACATTATTATTATTTATATTAGTAACAGCTAGTATTTATATGTCTACTATGTACCAGGCACCGCGCTAAGCACTTTACAAATACACTTTACAAACTTTACATTTGATCTTCATGTTAATCCTGGAAGGTGGGTGCTATTCTTACCCCCACTTTACAATTGTAGAAACTGAGACAGGCAAAGGTTAAATGACTTGCCCAGGGTCACACAGCTAGCATATGTCTGAGGCCAGATCTGATTACAGGTCTTCCTACCTTAAAGTCTAGTACTGTCCCCTTCTTCCAGACTAAATAGAATTAATTCCAGAAGGGACAAATGAACCATTTTTAAACATGTATTTCATTCTAGAAAACTGAAGGTACATTCAATTAATAAAAGGGAAGAATTATTCAATATATTCTATGTAGAATGAAAATAAAATGATTAAGTTATTAAGGAGCACTCAAGATAAAACCCAGATTTCTTATTAAATACGTATACCTTATGAATTCTTCGCACTAGCACAGATGCAAAAAACCGCAATGTTACTCTTAGTTCATCAACAAAAGACTCGTCATCAGTTACATCCCTGTGAATAGGCAAAAAAAAACACTTTCAGAAACTTAGAGAAGTCTTACAATTCACCTTAAATTATTCAAATTAAATCATTATTAAGCACCTGCTGTGAAACAGCACTATGCTGTATGCCCTACTGATGTCACTACAAAAATAATACAGTGTCTGTCTTTAAGAAGATTACATTCTGGGAGGAGCTAGGTGGCACAGTGGATAGAGCACCAGCCCTAGAGTCAGGAGGACCTGAGTTCAAATCCATTCTCTGACCCAGACACTTGACACTTACTAGCTATGTGACCCTGGGCAAGTCACTTAACCCCAATTGCCTCGCCAAAAAAAAAAAAAAAAAAAAAGATCACATTCTACTGGGTGAGGGGATAGAAGAGAAAAAAAAGGAAAACATATGTACACAGATATGTAAACACAAAATAATTTAAGGTGAGTACTTAAGGTGGAGGCAAGGGGGTTCATATAGCAAATTTCCTGTTGGATGTAGCACTTGAACTAAGCCTAGAAGGAAGCATGGGATTCTAGATGGTAGAAATGAAGAAGATAAACAATCTAAGACATAAGACACAAAAAGAGGTTGAAGATAGTTGCGGTTCAAAGAATAGTAAGTCAGTTTGTAAAAATGCAGAGTATATAAAAGGGAAAAATATGAAAAAAAAACCTGAAAGATAGGCAGGAGGCAGATTGTAAAGAACTTTAACTGCCAGACTAAGAAGTTTAAATTTTGCCCCAGGCAATACGATGCTACTGAGGATTTCTGAGAAAAAGAATAACATCAGATCTGTGCCTTAGGAGGCCTGCCTTAGCAGCTAAGTAGAGAACAGACTGGTAATAAAAAAAGACTTGGGGGTATAGAAGGCTATTATAATAATCCAGGCAAAAAGCGATAAGGACCTGAATTAGTACAAGAGCAGAGAAAGGATATATGCACCAAGATACTGCAGAGGCAGAACTGATAAGACTTGGCAACTCATTGTATACTGGAGGCATGGGAAAGGTGAAGAAGTAAAAGCTAATCTGGAATTGTAAACCTGAACGATCAGACAGGTCTTGGTGTCCTTAATAGTAACTTTGTATACCTAGGCCAGTGTGGCTGAATCACAGACTATGTGAAGAGGAGTTAAGTGAGAGAAGACAGGAAAGGTAGGAAGGGGCCAGGCTGGGAAGAGTTTTGAAGGCAGACAAGAGAATTTTATGTTGACAAGGGGTCACTAAAATTTGGGGGTAGCTAGGTGGCACAGTGGTTAGAGCTGCGCCTGGAATCAAAAAGACTCATCTTTCCTAGTTCAAATCTGGCCTCAGACACTTATTTGCTGTGTGACCCTAGGCAAGTCCCTTAGCTAACACCCGTTTCCCTCAGTTTCCTCATCTGTAAAATGTGCTGGAAAAGTAAATGGCAAAGCTCTCAAATAACTTTGCCAAGAAGACTCCAAATGGGGTCATGAAGAGCTGGACATGACTGAAAAATGACTGACCAGCAATGCTAAAGTTTATTAAGTAAGAGGGTGACAAGGTCACACCTACGCTTTAGGAAAATCGCTTAGCAACTGAGTGAAGGATAGACTGAAGTAGAAAGAGACCTGAGGCAAGGATACCAGTTAGTTTGTGGTAGTAGTCTAAATGAAAAGTGATAAGGGCCTAAAGTAAGGTGGTGGCCATATAAGTGGAGAATGGAACATATTCAAAAGATGCTGATAAGGCAGAAACACCACGATTTGGCTATGGACTGGATATGTGGGGTGAGAACAAGGAGTTGAGGATAACATAAGGGCTGTAAACTGAGATGACTGAGAGGATAGTAGTGGCCTTGATAATAATAATAAAACTCAGGTGAAGAAAGAGTTTGGGGGAAAAGATAATGAGTTCTGTCTTAGACTTGCTGAGTTTGAGATGCTTACAGGATATCCAGTTCAAGATTTCCAGAAAGCAATTGGTGACAAAAGACTGTAGCACAGGACAATGACTACTGCTTACTGATTAATATATAACATCTGGGAATAATCTGCATAGAAATAACTTTAACCCTTGGGAGTCTATGAGATCACCAAGTGAGATAATACAGAGGAAGAAGAAAAGAGAGCCTTGGGAGAAACCCGTAGTTAGAGGTATGAAGATCTAGAAAAGGAGACAGTGAAGGAACAACCAGATAAATGGGAGCAGAACCAGGAGAGTATGTCACAAAAACCTAGAGGGAAAAAGAATCCAGGAGATGATGGTGATGGACTGCAATCAAAGACTGCAGAGAAGTCAAAAAGGATGGCAACATTTAAAAGTCCATTCGATTTAGCAATTAAGAGAACAGTAACTTTGAAATTACCAATCTCAATTACTAGTTTCAGCTGAATGATTTAGTGGAAGCCAGACTGAAGAGAGTTTAAAATCAAGTGAGAAAAGAAGAATTTGGGGTACCTGGTAAAGATGTCTTTCTCAAGGAATTTAGCTGAAAATGAGGGGAAAGATATAGGATGATAGCTAGCTGGGATAGTTGATCAAATAAGGTTTATATCAAACTTAGAAGAGACATAGTAGGCATGTGTATAGGCTATTAGGAAGGGGCCATTAGATAAGAAAAGACTAAAGATAAAACAGAGTGAAAACGATAGTGATGACAATCTGTTGGAGAAGATGGGAGGAGATATGATCAAGGGTGCATATTTTTTTCCAAGGATTGTATTTAGAGAGATGGCTCACCTTGGAAAGGAGAAAGGCCATTTCTTCATCAGAAACTGGAATGTAGGAGGAGATAGTGGGTAATGATGTCACAGGATTGGTCAGACACGTCAGAGGGGAACCATGAGAGTATAATGTCCCAAAAACAAAGAAAGGGAAATAATATAGGAGGTGATGGTAACTGACAGTGTGAAAGGCTTCAAAGAAGTAGAGGACAAGAACTGAAAAAAGGCTATTAGATCTGGCCATTAAAAGGTCATTGATTCACTCTGGAAAAAGTACTTTCAATTTAATAATGAAGTCAGAAACCAGACTGCAGAGAGCTTATAATCGAGTGAAAGGAAAAAGTGGAGGCAATGAGAGTACATGGTGTTAGTTAAAAAGTGAAGCAGAAATAAAGGACAATAGCTAGCATGGATGACAGGATCAAATGAAAGAATTTTTTAAGGATAGAAGAGATGTGGACATTTTTGTAGGTAGCAGAGAAGGAACCAGGAAATAGAAAGAAACTGAAGATTAGTGAAAGGGTAGGAAGGACAACAGCAACCTATTGGAGTAGACAGAGAAGATGGGATCAAGGGTACATACAGACAAGTTGGCCTTAGCAAGGAGTAATCACATCTGAGAAATGAGGGAAGAGGATGAAAGAGAAGAGAGAGTTCTCACCAATCACCAACACAAATGCATTTCACTTTAGGAAAACTGGATATCAAAAAAATTCAGTCTACAAAATGGATAAATTTTGGGAGGATTCTCCCACTTTGGGAAGCAAAATAAACTACTTTTCACTTTCCTGAAGTCTGAAGATACCTGGGAGGTGGAGCAAAAAGCTGACAGCACAGTCCTTGAGCATAAAGTTAGTGCTGATAAAAAGTTCCTGAAGGTACCACTGTTAGCTGTGCTTCATAAACCCTGAAAATCCTTCAAAAAGGGGTTCAGCATGGAAACCTAACTTGAAAGTACATGTTAAGATCCTGAAATCTAATAATAATATCTTGATTCACCAGTTAAAGATGTTTAATCATGTTACTACAGAATTCATAATAAGGTTCTTTACATGGGCTAACTTGTACAGGATCCATTTTGTTAGCACTGTATGTATTTGTCCAGCTGGCTCTGTTTTAAAATTTAATATTCTCAAAAGCTGATCCACTGCCTTCTCTGTGCTCTGTAAACCCCAGAACCCTTAATTCAATGTCATAGTAAATGACATTAACACTCAATATTTTAGCAAAAAAATTTCAATTTTCCATGAATTCTTTACTGAAATTAACTACTATAATGATTCAATTAGAAAATGTGAATTAAGATTTCTCAAAAATCATGCAATTTAAAAAACAAAATTCATTTATCTATTGATAAAAATAAAATCGTTACATTTAGAATTTATGAAAAACCTTTTATTTCAAGAGATTAGTTCTCTTGACAAAAAAGTCCCATGGTTTTCCCATTATATTTTTGTCCTGGAAGATTAATAAAACAAAAAAAAAACAGTTCCTGCCCTTAAGGAGATTACACTCTATGAAGGGCTGAGGGGGAAATATGTTATTTACATATAGATATGTAAATACAAAATAATATGAGAAAGAAAAGAGCACTATAAAGTACTGAGTACTTATGTGTAGAGCCCTTAATTCTGACTAGCAGTCATTCTACAATATTAATGAGTTTTCTGAAAAGAACACATACCTGTACCAAGGATAAACAAAGTTTTCCAACACTAATTCAAGCACCTGGGGAGAAAATATTTTTTAAAAGAACAGTGCATTAATTCATCTTAGGAAAAACATCATTACATTTAGTAACAAGAAACATATGTTAACATTAATAAATTCCCACTGCCAAAAACTAAGACCTCTGAAATGCATACATCTTTGCAAGCTTCCCACAGTTAAAAAGTATTCTTGGAGACAACAATCTAAATAGCCTCAGGAGCAACAATCTAAATAACACCAGAAAAATATCAAAGACATTGCTCCCAGTTGAACTGCAAAGCTCGAGGAGGAATAAAGGGAAAACAAGTGACATTTGTAGTTTGAAAAGGGCCTTGCCTTCATTATTTCATTTGACCCTTATAACAACTCTCTAAGGCAAGCAGTACAACTAATAGATAATATCATTGTCCCCATTTTACAAATAAGGACATTAAAGATTAGAGACTGACTTGCTCATAGTCACAAAGATATTAAGTTCTAGAGGTGATGTTTGAACACTGGTCTTCCTAATACCATGTACAGTACAATCTATACTACACAAGAGTAAAAATTGTTGAAACTTTTTCTTTTTCAACTTCAAAGGTGGAATGTATGGGGGGGGTGTATGTGTGTGTGTGTGTGTGTGTGTGTACATATATACATATATATGGAGAGAGAGAGAGAGAGAGAGATGCACTGATTCCTGTAGAGAGAAGGAATAGAAGGTCAGGACTTAAAAAAAGGAAGAGCTGAGAATGATAGCCATAAATCCATATACTAAAAAAGGAATCTATAAGTCATCACTAGTACACATACCATGACCCTCGTAGCAAAACCTTCAATACTGGCAATAAGTGTGAACGTAAATAGTTTTTAATATAAGATGTCAACATGAGGTATATTAGTAGGGGAAATGGGATATTTTTAAATTAACAAGGTCCTTTATAAGCACAATGTGCAAAGGATATTCCTCTATAAAGTAAATGCTAGGAGATACTAAAAAAAAAAAAAAGAAACCTATTCCTATCACAGGCCTCTTCTGGATAAAGAAGGATGGAAAAATATAATCAAAGATTTTAAAACTAGAAGGTACTTTGGAAATTCTGAAAAAAGAAAATACCAAGAGATAAAGTAGCATCTTGTTCCACCCTCCACCAGCTAAGGAACAGAAAGCAAATTGGGGAAAAAAAAAAGGAGAAATAATGAGGCAGGGTTCAGAGGGCTTACTTTTTTCCCAACTAGCACAGTAACAATTTATCTACTACATAAGAATAGGTGAAGTCACCAATTCCTGTTTGTACTCCAGCGAGTAAATATCAAAGATAGAGTGACTGCTGAGGAAGATATGTAATACATTAACATCTACTCCCTCTAGCAAAGGTCCTCATTTGGAAGTTATGTGGGTAGCGTGCAAAATGGGTATTTCTTATAGGCATAACAGGATTTCCTTTGAAAAGATTTCTAAGCAAAATTAAAACACTGGATCCACAAGCATTCCTAATTTGTCACTCAAGCTAAATAGGTAAAAACTATATTTATTTTAGCTTGTACTGCTAGTCTGTAAAAATAAGCAAACTTAATTTTATTAGGTATTGATGATTATTATTAATAAGCTAACAAAATTTTATTTGATGCATCCCATATATTAGAAGATGCTCTTGATTAAGATTTCAGTTGAACCATCTGCTGAAGAAATTTTCTTTTGGTACTTTATCACATCTTCTATATCTAAATGTGCATGTTTGGAGATCATCTATTACCTCTGAGACAGATGCATCAACTTTAGAAGATACTTTAAGGTCTAGCCAAGGCTGGTAGTTTTCAAGCAGCAAAGTAGGTCTGAAAAATACAAAGCAATTGAATTTCTTAAAATCCAGAATATCATATAAATCAGAATACAAATAATGAACATAGGCCTTACCTGTGCCTTTCACATTTCACTTTACCACACACAGCACAGCTGTGACCTTGGGGAAACAATTCCTGTAGTTCTAAATGCTTAAAGAAAAAAAAATATTGAGGAATCAATCACGTTTCTTTCCCAAAAAATTTCAACAATCATTTATATGCAAATCAGCTTTAAAAGAACACAGACAGGGACAGCTAGGTGGTGGAGTGGATAGAGCACAGGCCCTGGAGTCAGGAGGACCTGAGTTCAAATCCAGCCTCAGACACATAGACACATAATACTCACTAGCTGTGTGACTCTGGGCAAGTCACTTAACCCCAAACTGCCTCACCAAAAAAAAAAAAAAAAAAAGGAACAGAGATTTCTCAGAAGCTTTCAATTATTATGAAATAATATACCAAAAGAAATAACATGAAAATTTTACCCTCTGTAGTAAATGTTTAAACAATTCCCCCAAAATTTCCCTTAAAAGTTTAAAACCTAAAATCTTTGCAAGCCAAAAATGCCAAGTCTTTTAGATCCAATAATACCTAATTACAAAGAAAAATAAAATATTTTCGATAATACAAATAATACAGCAACATAAGCTTCATTTCTAGGATTAAAACCTGAAGTTTCTACCTTTCAGAACACTTGCAAGAAAGGATTCAATCTATATATGAATTCTGTAATAGGTTCCTCTCAACTTTTGAAGAAGCAGAATTACTTTTCATGTCTCCAAAAGCTTTCAAATCATCAGGATGGAGGAAAAAACTAATAAATAAGAAAATTGCTGAGAGGCAAAGGCAGAGGGGTTTGTTGCTCACTAACCTCGAATATACCTTCACACATACAAAGAATCTTTCTTTACACACCAAAAGACATGGGGTAGGGGGGACAACTAAAATCTAAAAGCATTCTCAATTAAAATACAAATAAATTTGAATTTTATCACAATAGCATATATATATATATATATATATATATATATAAAAATAGTAAATACATGTAGTACCAGGCATTATTTAATGTCTAAAGTCCTGCTCCAGACACATATTAGATTATGTGGTCCTTGGGCAAGTTACTTAACTTCAGAGCCTCATATAACTTTTTAAGATCCTAAATGGCACTACAACTGCAGACTGGGAATTTCCTCACCAGACAAGAGGGACAGAACAAGCATTTATATGGGGTCTATCCTGTGCCAGTCACTGTGCTGAGCATTTCTTGCTAATATTTCATTTGACCATCACAACAACCCTTCAAGGTAGATGCTGTTATCATCACATTTTCACCATTTTCTTTATATCAATAAAAGCACAGATGTGGTCCTCCCCTCCACCCCACCCCCCCACCAAAAAAAAAGGAAGGGTGGGGCAGAGGGAGAGGAGGAAGAGAAGAAGACATGCTGCTGAAGAAGATATACCTGCTGGTATTCTGGTCTGTGGATTGACAAGACCTCTAAAACTATGGTCTCATAACACAGTAAGGCCATCAGGCTGGAAACCAAGAAGCTAGAGATATTAAAATGATTGGCATTCATAGCTTAGAGGATTAATTATGCCTTGCAATATTAAAAATAATGTTTTTAATTTAATAACATCCTTAACAACAACAAAGAAATTTTACCTTGGGCTTGTATTTTATTGTGAAGAAAATATTTGGCAAAAGAGTATCCGGTCCTAATGAGCAGTAGAAAGTGACAACTCCAGCCACAAATGACCAGAAGATCATTAAAATATGAAGATACCTTGTAAAAAAAATTGAAGATAATAGGCATAAACAAGATATACAAACTACTAGTTCCATTTTTCTTAAACAGCATTATTATTTTATTGAGTAAATTCACTAAATGCAATATGAACATTTTGAAATGTTATAGATTTATTTCAAAAGGAAAAAAATTAAGTATCAAATAAGTTTTTCATAAAATTGTATAAAGAATTATAAAGTATTTTATTTATAACAACTCCATGAGATCTTTGGCGAAAATCTTACTAGAATTGATTTGGACTTCTTTTTACTCTTTTTCCACAACACATTCACAGTGCCATATATGTAGTAAGATGCTAGCATTAGAGTTGGAGGGGACCTTAGAGTTTACATACATAGTCCAATCCCCTCTTTTCCAGATAAGTAAACAGAGGGCCACAGATGCTGAATGACTTGCCCAGTCACACAGATAAAGAGGTGATGGAGCTAGGATTTAAAACCAATTGCTCTGACACTAAACCCAACTCTCTTTACTACACCACATTACAGAATGTTTACTAAATTGAATTCACATCTATTCACCCTCAAAAATTCAAAGTATCAACAGTAATTACCTCTTAGTAATGGCTAGAGATAAGGCAGTCAATTGTTTTACCAGTTCTAGCACTTAGGTATCTATGCAAAAAAAAGTTTCCTTTCAAATCCTAGATACACAAGTGAGGAAACTTAAGATCAAAACATTTTCTTTGGAGCTTCATGTTCAGCTTCTTCCTCTTTTTTTAGGCTAAAATGTAAATCTTAGCATCTCTACTAGTATTTTTTTACTCAGCAGGTAACAGTAATGTGATTGTTCTTATGCATATATCCTCTTAATGACTTCATTTTGGAAAACAGTGGATAATCACTGCAAATTAAGAGTATTACATACAGTATATATAAACAATTCTCAACAGAACTGCAAACTATTATCAACTGTATCAAAGAATGCTCCAACTCCCTAACTATTATTAGAGAAATTTTCTTATTAGAGAAATACAAATCAGAACAACTCTGTGACTTCACTTCAACCATAGCAAATTAGTTAAGACAAAACAGGAAAACTGGCAATGGCACACTAACACACACTTAGGTAGAGCTTCGCACTGATTCAAAGTAGTTTGTAATTATCAGAAGAAAGTGTCTAAATGTACATACTCTATAAACAGAGATCCCATTAATAGGGATATATCAGAAGATGGTCAATGATAAAAAGAAAGGCCTCATATACACCAAAATATCTGTAGCAGCACTTTTTGTAATAGCAAAGAAATAAAAAAAGTAGATGCCTGTCAACTAAAGAAGGAATAAACATGCTGTGATATGTGAATGTAATGGAATATTATTGAACTGTTAGAAATAAGAAATGAAGAAATCAAAGAAGCATGGGAAGATTTTGATAAAATGATTCAGAGTAAACTGAGGGTGGAAAACAATACATAATGATTACAACAGGGTAAAGAATAACAATTTAAAAAATGAAACGATATGGTGAATTACAATGACCAAAGCTGACCAAAGGAATATAAAAAGGTACCTTCTTCCATTATTTAAAGAGGTGGGAGACAATGGGCAGTGAAAAAACAGATAATTTCCCATTTTTTCAACGTATTGGTCAGTTTTAATACACTGGTTTTTCCCTCCTTTCTTGTTCTTTGTCATAAGGGATGGTTCTGTGGCAGTGGTAGAGAAGACTAATATATTGGGAAAAGTGTGTGCAAAAACAAAAGACCAAAATAAAAATTTGTCTTTAAAAAGAAAAAAATCTTGCAGCCCTTGAATGTGGGGACCTTCTTTGTGGGGGGGGGGGGTAGAAAGAAAGGAGAGGGTATGAGTATGCCCTCTTACTTCTCAGTGGAGTAGAAAGTGGAAAGTCACCTGTTCTGATTAAAATAACTGGTATCAATATGTCAGCTACATCCCCCACCCTGCATCTCTCTAAATGTTGTAATGTCAATATGAGATAGTGAGAAGAGTGCTAGATTTAGATTCAGATCTAGATTCAAATCATGGTTCTACCTGTGTGATCTTGGGCAAGTCACTACCTTTCTCTGGGTCTCTATTTCTTCTTTAGAAAGCAATAGTACAAGGAAAAGAACACTGGCTCTGGAGAGAGGTCCCGGTTTAAAAGTCTATGTTTAATTCTAACAGCGAACAAGACTGTGAACTGTGAACTACCTACTTAATTTACCAAGGTTTCTATTTTTTCATCTCTAATGAGGGGGTTAGACTAGATGAACCTTGAAGCTCCAGATAAAAAAGGTTGGTTCTTAACCTTTTTTATGTCATGGATCCCTTTGGCACTGGTGAAGCCCATGCGCCACGTCTCAGGATGTTTTTAAATGCACAACATAAAATACATAAGATTACAAAGGAAGCCAATTATACTGAAATACAGGTATCAAAATATTTTTTAAAACAATTTCTCATAACGTCAAGGAAGAATGGTTTTAGGACCACGATGTCATGGGCCTGGGGCATTTGCAACCTGTAAAATCAAAGGACCTAAGCTACCTGAGCCAACTGTGATCATTCTGTCCTTGGTAATCCCAAAGCAATTTTTTTGTGCCTTTCTTATGTACCTTTCACATATTATTTTGAATTGTAGGTATGGGTGTGTACATGTGGGAGGGTGTGTGATATCTCCTTCCTCAGCTGTAAACTTCAAGAAGTCAGGGATAGAGTCTTCTTTAAACTTTGTGTCTTCCCCAATATCTAGTACAAGGTCTCACACATGCATTTAATAAGTACCTAGTATGTGCCAAACATTAAGAACAATATTGTTTTAAGAACAACTTTGAGGACTAAGTCATTTTGATTGTTATAAATACTCAAATTAACTACAAAGGATCTATGAAGGAAGACGTTATCTGCACCCAGAGAAAGAACTGATAAAAAGACATATGTTTAGAATGGTTTTTACATACATACATATATACACATATATGTGCATATGTACACATACATATTTGTGTCTAATGGTAGCATCTCTACAGCAAGGGGGGGAGAGTGAGAGGAAAGAAAAAAGGGGAAAAAAAGAAAGTTACATGTCAATTTTATTATATATTTAGAAGAAATTGCAAGTTGTATATAATAGATTTGCAGTTTTATGTACAATCATCTTTTTCTATTCTACTATGTTATGAAAATGCTAATAATTTCTTAAGTCCAGAATAAAATAAATAATAACAGTCAAACAGTGAAAAAAAAAAATTCTTAGACTCCAGGTTAAAAATCCCTACTCCAACTCTATATTCCTATTATTCTTTTTAGTGAAGGTTTGAAACCATTCTGCTGAGTTTGATTTTTTTTGTTTGTTTTTGTTTTGTGTAATTTATCAAGCTATAATTTGTTTATTTCTTTATTCCTCCAACCAAAATAATATACAAACTGTCGCATTTCCTTTTTTCTCCTACTTTAAAGCAGCAGATGCAATACCACAGTTGAAATTCCAGACTTTATCTAGTTATAGGAAATTTATTACTGCTACTAAGTGAATTATTGTATATCAAAGTACAGTCTAAGTTTACTCAAAAATTAATATTCTAGAAGCAATTCAGTCATAAGTATAATTTTGGCTGTCTGTTTTGTATTAAAATCTTTCACATCTTTAACATGAGAGTGTTATAATGTGTGTGATTTTCTCTATTAACTTTCTTCTTTTTAGATCGTAAGCTTCCAAAAGGTAGGAAACCCATTTTCCCTACATTCTCAAACCTCTACAGGATATATCAATCATCAAATACAGTATTCTCATTCTTCTCCAACCAAAGCATCAAAACTCTGACTCTCCCTTTTTCTCATAGGAAAAAATCCAAATTCTTTAGCTTCAAGATCCTCCAGAATTTGTCTACAACTGACTTTCCAGCTTCATCTTTAATTTCTCTCTCAAATACAATCCAACAAATATTAACAACAGCCCCTACAAACACACTATTGTGCCAGATTCTTCTACTTATTTGCCCTGGCTTTTCTATACCCCTAGGAAGTTCCTCCTCCTAAATTCTACCTCTCAGAATGCTTGACTTCCTTCAAGATTAAGCTCAGAGGCTGAGTTCGATTGGGGGGAGGGCAGGGAAGAGAAGGAAGAGAGGGAAGGAGGTGAAGTTTTCCTGGTCATCCCAGTTTCTAGTGCTTTGCTCACTAAGATTACATACTCTCTTCTACAACCATATGAATGAATACTCATTTATTAAGCACTTATTATGTGTCATGCACTGTGTTAAGTGCTAAGGATACAAACAGAAAAAGCTAAATAGTCTCTGATCTCAAGGAGCTCACTAAAATTAGGGTAGATAATACAAAGGAAGGTTCAGTTGAAGGGAGAATGGACGACGGGAGCGGGGGAAGGGAATAAACACTTTTTAAAGCACCTACTACGTATCAGGCACTATGCTGAATACCTTACAAATATTACCTGAGTTGATCCTCACAACAACTCTGTGAGGTAGATACTATTTTGATCATTTTACAAATTGAGGAAATTGAGACAGACAGTGCGTCAGTGACTTGCTTAGGTTCACACAGCTCATAAGTATCTGAAACTGGATTTGAACTCAAGTCTTCCTCACACCAGGACCTGAAATATATCCATTGTACCACTTGGCTGCACTGAAGTCCTAAATATCCCTGCAGTAGAAGAGACGGCAAGTCTTGGGGGGTCCTTAGAGACTGTGCCAACATTTAACATGGAAGTACTACCCAGGGGTCATGACAGCATAGCGACAGGGCAAATGGTAAGGCCATGTAGTCCTCCATCTTAGCAGAAGCATTGTAGTTGGTGACCCCCATCTCCATCTAATTGGTGTGAACATCCACATCCATACTGATTTGGAGAGGATCAGACCACCACCAAAGGATTAGAGAGTTTGAATTCCCTGCCAAAGATGAGGGAATGAAGGGGGTCAATGTTGAGGTAGGTGGAGGGAAGAAGAAAACACTACCAGGACAGTAAGGTGAGGTGAGGGTGGGTCCAAAGTCTAAGGGAAAGAGAAGGGCCTC